CCCCGCAAGCCTCGCCCCTTCCCCTGCCCATCTGGCTGGTCCCTTGAGCCCTCAAAGCCAGCCATCCTGGTGCCTGGATGGTGCTGGTTTGGGTGCAGAGGTGGGACCCCAAGGGACAAAGGCCATCCCTCTCTGTGGTTTCTCCAAGCCCCCCGGGCCCAACCCAGATTGACAATGGAGTTTGTAACTATATATTTTTAATAAAGTATATGGTCCATTGGGGTAGGTTGGTTGAAGATGGAGGGTTGGGAAGAAGAGATAGATAGAGAGAGGCCAATGTGATGTGGGTGTTATATGTGTGGTATGTGTGTGATCCGTATGTGTATATGGTGTGTATGTGTGTGGTATGTGTGTGATCCGTATGTGTATATGGTGTGTATGTGTGTTATGTGTGTGATCTGTATGTGTGTATGTGTGTTATGTGTGTGATCCATATGTGTGTATGTGTGGTGTGTAAGTATGCTGTGTGTGTACATGTGCATGTTATGTGTGTGTGTGTATTGTGTGTGTCATGCCTGTGTGTATTGTGTGGGGGGTATGGATGTGTGTATGGTACATATGTGTATATGGATAAGTGTGTATCTGTGTGTGTGTGTCCCTTTCTGAAACACCAGCCCTTGGAGGGAACTTTGTCACCTGCCATTCCCCTTCCTGGGAGCCAGTGGGAAGGATTCTGAGTGGGCCTCAGAGGCTTGAGTGGGTCTGAGTTAGAGCTTTGCTACCTTCTAGCTGTGTGGCTGCCAGCAAGCTGTCCATCAGTTTTGCCTCAGTTCATCACCTGTAGAATGGGATGAACCATTCCTCCCTCCCAAGAGGTGAGGGACAGGAGAATCTTGTGTGGATGTCAGCCAACCCTTTATAACTCAGGGGAAGTGGGAAGGGCCCACTGACTTACAGCCCCGCACACCCATGCACACACACACACACACACACACACATACGGGCTGGGCTGATCAAGTTGGCCGCAGGACACTGTGGTGGGAAGGGCTCTGGGAGCAGCTGGGAAACCTGGTCATAGTCAGACTTGGTCTCTGCCTTGCTGTGAGGCCTTGAGTAAGTCCTTTCCCTTCTTTGGGCTTCAGTTAGCCAGTGCTATGTAACAAACCACCCCAAAACTCAGACAAGGGTTTCTTTTCTCAAGCCTCTATGGGTGGGCTGGGTGGCTCCTTATCTGGTTTCTTCTGGGCTCACTCCAGGCGCTATGCTCAGCTGGAATGTCAGCTCAGCTGTGAGGCCAAGATGGCCTCGCCACGTCAGGCAGCTGGTCTGGCTACGGCAGGGGCCTCTTCTCCTTCACCAAATTCCTTCGTGGTGTTTCAGGCAGCAGCTGCAAGGTCTCCTGAGCCAGTCCAGGCCACGAGGCCAACCCAGGTTCAAAGGGGGGGGAATTGGGCTCCGCCTCTTGGGAGATTGGTCAAGTCACGTTGCAGAGGGCAAAGGCACCAGGATGGGACTGTGGCCGTAACTTGGTCGTCTGCCGCAGAAGCTTTGGGTCTGAGGGCTACTCCCATCTCTAGCTCTGTTCAACTGTGTACCCAGCGTTCGGTGTGCAAGGAAGCAGAGGGCACCCTCTTCATTCTCAGGAATCTTCTATGCAAAGGTGCCAGCTACCTCAGGAAACACAGGGAACCAACAGGCAAGCTCACCCACTGTGAAGTGCTGTGCACTGCTTTGTGAATGACCCGTTTCACCAGCGCTGGCAGCATGGCTGCCATTTGGGTAAATCACTGTGCGTCCCATGTGCTTCAACAGCTTAATAAAAGAACATGAGGCGTCTTTCCTGGAGACAGAGGCTCCCTGGGATCCAAGTCCCCCAACAAATAACTCATCATGTCTCTCATTTGCATAACATCTTTCACATCCTTTAGTTCACTGAGTTCCTGCCAAACCCCAAGAGGTAGGTAGGACAAGGACTTGGCCTCAGATGAGGACCTGAAGACCCCGAATTAAGGGGCTGGCTTGAACCAAGGTGACAACTGCCAGCTTCCCCTTCACTCCCATCCCCCCGCAGGCAGGGGCTACGTGAGCAGCCCAGCTGCCAATGCTCTTGGAAGGGCCCCTGGTGCCCTTCTGCCAGGTGGGAGCACCCCGGGGGGTCTCACCCCCCACAAGCCAGGGGCTCATCAGAGATGTCCCTCTACCCAGCCCCTGCAGGCCCTGGGGAGACCTCACAGGGTCTCAAGCTCACCTGTCTGCTTCCTTCAGGCAGACACCTGGGTGAGCAGCAGTGACTAAAGATGACCTCGGGCTCAAGCAACTTAGCCTCAGGACCTTCCACCTGGGACACATCTTAGAGGTTACCCAGCCCACACCCATGAGGACAGGCGGGGAGAGGTACACGCAAGGCTCTTCCTAAGATGGCCTCCCATCCAGAGTGACGTGGGGGCGCTTCAAAGTCCCTCCCAAACACTTTCCTCGTCACCAGTTTGTCACTGGCTCAGACACTAGTGACAGTGACTCCTCTAGGAGGCCTCTTTGTCAACATCGAGCTGACCTGGGGGACACAGGAGAGGCAAGTTTTGACAAGAGCCCATAGCAAGGACTTTCTGGCGTGCCAAAGCGAAGTGCCATTGTGGGCACTGGGGGTGGGCATGGGGAGGGCACGGGAGAGGGGGCCACAGGGTTCGGGGAGGCTAGCACACAGCTGCAGGGGGGCTGGGAGGCTCGGCTGCAGCCCTGCTCGGCTCCGCTCGGCTCCCTGTTGACTCACCTGCCTGCTCCCACCTGTTCCCCTTCCACAGTCCTCCCACCTGCCTTCCCCCACCTCCGCCCCATCTCCCTGGCTGCAGGCTCCTGACGGCTGAGAGGGGGATCACTGTATCTGGGCGTGTATGAGCCTTAGCTATCGAGGCGCTTGGACTGGCGGAAATGGACTGGCTGAAGGGGCCCCTTCCTCACCCCCCATCGTCCCTGCCCTGCGCTCTCGCTTGCCCCTCGGGTCACAGCCCAGGGGAGGGGTGGGAGGCAGGAGAGAAGGAAGGGGGGGCAGGCGGGGAGAGGAGGCAGCGTAGCCTAAGGATGCTGAAACCTGCCCCCTGTCTTGCCTAAAATCCCACCATCCAGGCCTAGTTCTTGGGGGCTCACCTTTGCTTCCTTCCGGCCCACGCCTGAAACACTTGTTCTCCCTGTGGACCCAAATCGCTTAAAGAAGCAGAGAGAAGAGCCCGGAAGGCGGTGGGCAGCTGGCCGGGCCTGGCCGCCTGAGTCCCCGCCTCGCTGCCTGTGATCGTCCGCGCCCCGGGCCTGGCTTTCTCGCCGTCGCTTTCCCTGGGTACTGGCTTCCCTCGGTGTTGACGGGCTCTCCGTGCTTTCCATTTCTAATGACAACGCAATGTTCACAGGAGCACAGCACCCAGCGGGCCGACCCCTCACTTACAGGTGGGGGAACTGAGGCCCAGAGGGGCGTAGCCGGGATCCCGCTGCCCTGGGTCCCAGCCCTTCCCACCGCCGCACGCGGAACCGGCCACATCAATTCTGGGGTCCGTTGCAAAGTGAAAATGTGTGTCCCTTGTTCAAAAGTTGGGGAAGCTGCCATTAAAAACACTAAAGTTACAGCGTCTCCTTTCCTCAGGTAACCTCCTCTGCTTATGCGCCGTTGTCCCACCGGACTTACCTGCAAAACACAAGTTCAAAAAGAAAATGAAGAATTTCAACAATGTCATCCCAATAAATTCAATTAAAAAAAAGAAAAGAATTTCCAACGGAGGCCGCGGAGCATGAAGCCAAGCCCGGGCCCCCAGAAACCCCCGGCTCCGTGGCCTGCCTTCCCCAGCGTCTCCAGACCCTGTCTTCCCTCCTCCTCCGCAGGGCTGTGCTCGGCACCTCTGCAGTTTTCTGTTCCTGTCGTTTCACTTTTTCCTCTCGTGGCCATTGGCTCAGACTAAGTACTAACAGAATCCTGGGCTACATTTGCCGGACCCTCCAAAGTGTAACCCCCAGCATCTTCCAGCGGGACAGTGTAGAGTTGGGTCCAAGGATCAGAAAAGGGAGAAGTTTGAAACCCAGCTCCCCTTCCACGGCTTCTCAAGGGGTGAGTTGAGAGGGTGAGCGCAGATGGGCAGGAATGGCTGGCAGTGGGCACAGCGATGGCACCGGACACAGAGCCAAGAGCACTGGCATTTACATGCATGTTTATACAGAGGAAAGATCATGGGTGTGAGAGCCAAGGGGTCCCAGGTTTGAGTTCTGCTGCTAGCACTGACGAGCTCTGTGACTCTGGGCAAGCTGATGTGTGTCTCTGAACCTGTTTCCTCGTCTGTTACAAAGGGCCATTCATATCTATCTCACACGTTGTCGTGTGGATTCAATCAGACCTCATATGTGATCAGACATGGCATGGTGTCTGTCGGGCACATTAGTGGACCCCAATAAATGTGAGTAGCCTTCCAGAAAGTATTCTGATGGGCTTATCATATGAGACATAGTTTGAAAACTGACCTCTGAGCTTCCCAGCAGCCGTGCAAAAAGGGAAACTTGATAGATCACTTAGGTCTCAGGTATGAGGACT